CCCCCCCGCAACCACCAAGCCTACACACCGAGGGCACTGCAAGGCCAGAGCCGTAGCCCCACCCTGTGGACGCACGCCCGGCAAGGGCGAGACCAGGGGGCAGAGACCCCAGGGCCCACGTTTGGGCCAGACCTCTCCCAGCCACCTGGAAAAGGTGCGGGCCATGGTGGTGGGTCCACTGAGCCCCCCCCCGCTGCCTGGGGTGGGAGGGTGATCGCACCCCGCTTGTGCACCACGTACAGACCCGGATAGGGATGATTAGGTCGGACTTGAGGCGGAGGGTTCGCGGAGCTCCCCTTTCCCCCGGGACGGGGGCAGAGGGGAGCGGAGCCCCTCCCCGGGACCCCGCCACAATGATGGGGGCTAATTTAGCTACAACTAATCAGGAAAGAGATCTTGGAGTCATCGTGGATAGTTCTCTGAAGATGTCCACGCAGTGTGCAGTGGCAGTCAAAAAAGCAAACAGGATGTTAGGAATCATTAAAAAAGGGATAGAGAATAAGACGGAGAATATCTTATTGCCCTTATATAAATCCATGGTATGCCCATATCTTGAATACTGCGTAAGATGTGGTCTCCTCATCTCAAAAAAGATATACTGGCATTAGAAAAGGTTCAGAGAAGGGCAACTAAAATGTTTAGGGGTTTGGAACGGGTCCCATATGAGGAGAGATTAAAGAGACTGGAACTTTTCATCTTGGAAAAGAGGAGACTAAGGGAGGATATGACAGAGATCTATAAAATCATGAGTGGTGTGGAGAAAGTGAATAAGGAAAAGTTATTTACTTGTTCCCATAATATAAGAACTAGGGGCCACCAAATGAAATTAATGGGCAGCAGGTTTAAAACAAATAAAAGGAAGTTCTTCTTCACATAGTGCATAGTCAATCTGTGGAACTTCTTGCCTGAGGAGGCTGTGAAGGCTAGAACTATAACAGGGTTTAAAAGAGAACTAGATAAATTCATGGAGGTTAAGTCCATATATGGCTATTAGCCTGTATGGTAAGGAATGGTGTCCCCAGCCTCCATTTGTCAGAGGGTGGAGATGGATGGCAGGAGAGAGATCGCTTGATCATTACCTGTTCGATTCACTCCCTCTGGGGCACCTGGCTTTGGCCACTGTCAGCAGACAGGATACTGGGCTAAATGCATCTTTGGTCTGACCCAGTATCACCATTCTTATGTTCTTATGAGTTTCAGGCTGGCAGCGATGGATTCAGAAAGTCTACTCTCCACCCTGGGGTCCCTGGACAAATCCAGGGAACAACAAGAATTGGAGAAATGGCAGAAGTGGAACCTCCTCTGCTTTCAACCCAGCCCTGTGCAGTGGCCAGTGGAAATCTTGGAAAGTGTTTTTCACTATCCAGGATGACCCCACAGCTCCTGGGTAGCACCAGTAACCAGGGGAGGACTGGAAAACGGGTAGGGCAGTTCAGAGGTTAGAGAGCTCATTTCTATGCTGAGGTTGACAAAGCCATTGAAAATGAAGAAGCTGGCAAGTGAGCACAGAATAGAAAACAGAGGCAGGAGAGGAAAGAGGGACAAATCTGAGTCCATTAATTGGAGCTGCTCTCAGGCCTGACCATGCTCATCTCTTGTTGAAAAGATCTACACAAAGATCAGCAGGGCAGCCAAGAAAGATATAACAAATAAGGAACTAAAACAAATTTGTGCATGATATTTATAAAAATTGTGCTGTTTGTGGCAGTTTAAAAAATTAAGACAATTGTGTTTCTTTTATTACACGTTCTAACTGTTACGTGTACTTTGCAAGAGAAGCTAGTAGCTTATAAAAGCACTCGCCTTCTATATGGATTTGCTGGGTCTACTCAGTATACTGACTAACTAGCAAACTATACCTAAATGTGAAACACTAACCAACATGAGGGAATGGGGATCAGCCACAAAATAGGTTGGATTTCAACATTCCTTTTGTTAATCTCACTGTGAGTCCATAAACTAATCTGTTAAACCTTTAGCACTCAGAAAACAATTAAGGGTTTAACTGTAAACTAGAGAATGCGGCCCAGTGTGTCTAAGTGTCTAACCCAGAGAGAAGAGTAGTTGGCTCTTGGGAGCTCTGTTGACAGCATATTTATTTTTAGTTTCAGCTGAGTATAGTATTTTGAGTGTGAACCATGCTGAGTGTTCAGCAAAGCAAGAGGAATTAAGAAAAAGTTTATTTGTATTTGTTTTCCAAAACATCAAAATACGTTCAAGCAAAAAAGTAGTTTTATTTTTTCCAAACTATTGACCATTTTGCGTGTTCAGATAACACCGGGAACAGGACAGCTTTGTATATTGTTATTATTTTTCATTTCTTTTCCCATTCTGTTCAAAATGTGCCTGAGCACTGCCCAAACCTAAAAGAAGGGATCATTCCTGCCCTGAAGAGTTTACAGCTGAAGGTGTTGATTGTACGAACAAAAGTGTTTAGCTTAACTCGTGAATACTCCTATTAAAGTCAATGGCAAATGCTCACAAACAAAAGTGAAACATGGGCATAATTGCAGGACTAGATCTTAAGAGACTTCACAAAGCAAAGTAGAGATAAAGGATGCAATAAAAATAAAGTAATTAAAGAGTATGGTTTTTTGTTTCATTTTCAAAGAGCTGCAGTCCTTACCATCCCCATTACTGAGTTCCCCATTCTGGACACTGCTGACAAGAGGATCTGTAGCCAGACTTGTGATGGAATGGCTGAACATCTCCTTATCTGAAGGCTGCAAAACAAAATCTGAAGGGTTACCTAGTATTTAAGTAGAGCAAGAGATAATCTACACTACAAAATAATATTGTGAATGTAGTGCAATTAATTTGAAACAGAACATGGGTGTTTATAAAGATACACATGCATGTTACTAAATATGCATATACATTTCGACAGTCTATAGATTTGATTCTGATCTCACACTGCTCTGTATCAATTGTAAAACTGGTGTAAGATTAGAATCAGGCCTTATATATTAAAACATTCACATATGTGTTACATTAAATAAATAACTGTATCTAATTATACTGCAAAGTTCAGCCCAGAGTAAAATGGGTACTACTCCCATGGAAATCTCTAGTCCAAGCTCACTGATAACATATAAAATGGTAAAAAACCCAAGTGAATGTGCAAAGCAGGTATAACTTACAAATGTAGTGAGGAAAAATGGGCGTTATAGTAACAGGAAAAGCTATGAACACAAAAAGCCAGCCCACCAAGCTGCTAGTCATCCTAGCTGCTTTTACTACTGAATGGCCAGTGTATAAATTATACTTACTTTGCACTCTCAAATCAACAAATTCCTACAAGTACTACTACAATAATTCCTCATTTAACACATGCCTGCTTAACACATTTTCGCGACAGCACAATTTTTTTTTAGGGAACATTTTTTGAATTACATGATCGTCCCTGGAATAACACGATTTCCCCAGCCGGCCCGTTGCCGGCGGCTGCATGGGGCTTCCATTGCCTCCCTGCAAAGCGGCGGAGGGTTCGCCACTCACCGTGCCGTTCCCCGCTGACTCCCTCTCGCTGGACTCCTTGCCCCCTCTCCTCCGCCCCTACTTGCAGGCCGGAGGCTGGTTTCCCCAGCTGGCCTGTCGCTGGCGGCTGCGCAGGGCTTCCCCCGCCTCCCTGCAAAGCGGCAGAGGGTTCGCCGCTCACCGTGCCGTTCCCCACTGACTCCCCCTCGCCAGATGCAGTGCGGGTCCCAGCAGACCCGTCACAGGGGCATACTCCCAACCCAATGCCCTTCCCCTCTCCTCCCTTTCCCTTCCCCAGAGCCAAACACCTCCCCTCCCTGCTGTAATCCAGTCCCTTTTTCCCCCAACCTTATGTCCCGGTCCCAACAGACACCACCGCTTGAAACACAACCCCCACCTTTTCCATTATTTTCAATGGGAAAATTGACCCCGCGTAATGCGTTTTCACTTAACACGATCATTTTCTGAAACATATCTATAGTTGTGTTTTTCTGAATACAGGATACAACTGCGCTCTAAGCTACCATGTGCAAATCAGGAGTAGGTTCACTACTCTTAATGAAGCTAGTCTGTGGAAATGAGATCAGAAACTCTTGCACAGTGGGAAATCAACATTTACCTATAGTTACCACGTTGAAGTATCTTATCTACCACAATATTTCTTTACGGTTAGAATATAAAATGACTGTAGTTTCTTCAATATCCCTATGTGATCGTTTTGAGAAAAGGTTGGTCTTTAAATGGAAACCATTACATACACCTGTTTCCTGACCAATTTATACTCAGTGTGAAACTTGAACCCATCACCCTGCGCAGGGGCAGATGACAGTTTTGCGGGGCCCCGGGCAGCGTAATTCCACGGGGCCCACCCTTTGCCACGGCGCATGTGCAGCGGCGCCACCGCGCATGCGCGGGGCTTTCTGAAGCGCGGGGCCCGGGGCGGCCGCCCCGTTTGCCCTGTCCTATATCCGCCCCTGACCCTGCGCTCCCCAAGCAAATAGCCTATTCTCTAGGACGCTCCAGAACCCACCCCACTGCCCTACCTTCAGGGCATCTTGTATGCTACCTTACTAAGGCAGGAACCAGCTTCATCTCTGGGGCAAAGAGTGTTGCCTCAGTATGAAACAAACACAGTTATTTATGTCATCACTGCATAAGTTGAATGAAGTCTGACTTAAAAATCAATGCAATAAAAATTCAAAGGTAAGCACTGAATGTTAGGACATCACCTTGCCCTTGATTATGCTGGACATGCTAATATCCCAGGACACTGTGTGAAACGGCAAACACTGCTTGACCCTGCATTTCCCGCACACCCAAGCTTTCCACTGAACTCTCTGGTGGCTGTGGCTCATCACATCCCAGTGCTTCTCTCCCTGCATCACATTCCCTAGCAGGATGCAGCCCAGGGAGAGCACAGGGAGAGCTACCATGCTGCTCCGGCATCCGGGCTAGAACTCCTTTCCCTGCTACAGCTCTGCCCATCCTCCCCTCCCAGTCCATAAGCCCCTTACTTCCTGTCTCCTAGTCCAGGCTGGTTTATTGGGCTGTAGGCCATAGAAGGAAGTGCTGGCATGAGCTGGGCAGCAGCTGCAAGAAGGTTTGTGGGGCTGCAGTCAGAGAAGACACAACTCATCATCTCCTTCCTGGCTCTGACAATAGCCTTGCAAACTTGCCTGCAGGGGATGCTCATTCTGGAACTGCAAGTAGCACCTTTCTTTCAGAGAAAGTTGTTAGCAAGCGGCATGCCATCGCTAATGTTTGAATCCCATCAACGCTGATGTTAATGAGATGGATTGGTTCCCAGCAATCTGTTGCCACTAACTGGAAATTGCTAATATCAGGGTTGCCAACAAGTGAAATCAACTGTACCCACCTCACAAACCTTCCTATTATCTCCCCTAAACCCATTGGTCTATTTTTATCTTTTTACATGCAAATTAAAATATTGCAGGCCCAAGCTCATGCAAAGGCCTAATTACAAACCAATGGAAAGACACAAACTGAAATAAGTAAATAGTATTTACCACATTCATCAGATTTTCATGGTCTCCGTTCTGATGTTTGGGCCTCTTTTCCCTTAAATTAAAAATGCATATTGTTAACATCCTAAAATTATGTTGAGGACTAACAGATGTTAGTTCGAATTAACTTGGATAGGCGCTACACATACAAACCGCTAGTTCGAACTTAATTCGAACTAGCAGAGCGCTTAATTCGAACTAGGTAAACCTCATTTTACGAGGACGAACGCCTAGTTCGAATTAGCTAGTTCGAATCAAGGGCTGTGTAGCCACTTAATTCGAACTAGTGGGAGGCTAGCCCTTCCCAGGTTCCCCTGGTGGCCACTCTGGGCACAACCAGGAAAACTCCTCTCCTCTCCCCCAGCCCCAGGCCCTTAAAGGGGTAGACTGTGGCCAGACAGTGCACACAGCAGTCTCTGGCCCGAACCAGTGGCCCCAGGATGAGCCAGGGAGCCAGTGCCAGTGAGCCATCCCCTGCCCAGTCCCCCAGCACCCAAGGGCCATCCAGGGGCCATAGACAGCGCGCGGCCTCCTGGACTAGTGCGGCGGTCATGGACCTCATTGAGATTTGGGGGCAGGCCCCCAATCTCCATGATCTCCGCACTAGGAGGAGGAACATAGCTGTCTACGGCCGCATAGCAGCTGCCATGGCCCGAAAGGGACACAGGCGCACCCAGGAGCAGGTGCGCCAGAAAGTAAAACAGCTGCGGCAGGCGTACGCCAGGGCCACCAGGGGTGGCACCACAGCAGGGGCTGCCACCTATCCCTACTTCCCCGCCCTCGACCAACTCCTGGGGGGCAAGGCGGTCCACACCAGCCCAGGAGGCAGCGAGCCCCTGGTGCCTGCTGCTCCTCCAACTCCTCACCCTCCTCTGCTGTCCTGACTCCTGCCCTTCTCACTGCCCTCAGCCCTCCTGCAACCTGCTCCCCTCCACCAGCCCTTCTCTTCCTCC